TACGCTACGAGGCCTAGTAGAGTACTTACGTGAATGGTTACCTTTTCAAATTTCATTCGTTGGTGATTTGTCATCACCGCCTACTGAATGTAAGACTTACAAAGAATAAACATATTATTATTATCAATAACATTTAAATTTAACAGATTTTGTTTTTCAGTGTGGTTATTATTGAGCAGTGATCCACCTGATGCACCGGTTTCACATGCCAATATACATTGGCATGTGGCAGCCGTCCTCAATAAAAAAATTACATTGAAATTTTTATTGTTTGGAATGAAACCTCACGCCGAGTAGCACACACAGATCATAAAACGGGCGTTTTTGGACAATACACATTGGGCAATAACGACACCGACACGATATCGGCGGATAAACAAGTTCACGCTGTCTGTAGCGTCAATGGTATGTATTGTATTGCCGCCGATTGCGACCGACTGATATCGGCACATTTAACAGATATAGTACAGTTTGTGAGTAGCGGGAGAGTAGGCGGGAAATTACCAGCAACACCCGGAGGCGCACTTATTTTGCTTTTTTTTTCGGGTTTACACTGCACACGGCACGACACAAAGACGTATCGAAGCTAACGGACTATACCAAAGATTTCTAAAAAAGTTGATATGACGTCGTACCTTTGGTAGAACTTGTTTGAATACAAGCCTTATTTGTATGACAAAACTTACGCTGAATTAAAAAAAAAAGGTTATCCGGGATAAATGTTGGAAATAATATCTTCTCTTCTAATCTTCTTTCCCGCCATTATTAATATAAGAGAAAAGTTTTGTTATAGGATAAGCTTGACAAGCGAGCACACATTCCACCTGATGGTAAGTGGTTGCTGTGGCCCAAAGACATTACATCTATTCTCGTTTGCGAATCAAAACACAGATGCGTTGTTACCCGTAAGGACTAAGATAGAATGCCTCTTTTTGAGTAAAAAGTGTCGGGTTCTCTACAGTCACCATGCGAAACAGCAGCATTAAAGCGGCTATCTTACGCTGGTATTCTGCGAGAGCGTGGTCCTTCCCTGGTCGAACCGACCCATTCGAGCTATAACTATACAAATAATTAGCAGCAGCATGGCTCTTCCACGTATCAAAGTAAATATAATGTGTTAAGTGCTGCCATTTTTCTTTCTTTTAAAACGTTCAAAGTTCTAACGCGATGGTCAAATCAAAATCTCTTGCGTTCGGTGTACACGGTGTTTCAGGCATCGATATCGGGCTGATATTTCAGTATCGGATCGATGTCGGTAAAGCAGCCGAAATATTATACGTATCGGTCCAGTGTCATTATCAGCCAATGTGTAAGCGCCCTACAACTGCAACCAACTTCAAACAAAGAAGACCGAAAATGCGTAGTCATCTCTTGAAGTTTAAAATTAAATGTCTCAATGCCCTGATACTAGAATACTGTGGTTGGACTTTTGATTGGCTGAAAGATATAAAAAACGATATGCGTTTTGTTAACACCAAGTGACAGTATTGTGGATAAGTATAAATTTGCGCATCTATATTTCCCAGCCAATGTATTCGTATTGAATATCATATAACGATTAATTGACGGATTAATCGAGTGAAAGAATGCCATTAGTACCAACCTAATAGATTACATACTCCCCTGTACTTCACCAAAGAGACCTATAAAGTAGAGGGTGTTACATAGTCTAGTAGTACTCTCAGTTCAGGACTCTCCTATGCTGAAAAAGAAGCCGAGCTAAATTAATAAATTTAATTAAAAACTACTAGGTACTAATACAATGGTACCTATTCACTAAGTTCTTCATTATTATGGCCAATAACACTTGATTGATTGATTGTATGTCAGTCAATTAAAAATGAACACCTGCTGTACGAGAAGCCGTACAACCATAATGTAGCAAAATGTGAGTATATTATCACATCAAATAGGGTAAACAGTACTAATGTTGGCACTCCTACAATGATTGGCACTTTGCTATTTTAATCTGAATATTAAGAATGTTTTCCTTTTTCTATATCACAGGTACACAGATATTGCTAAGATATATAATTACTTATACTAACAATACACATTTATATTTAAAGCATCAACTATTTTCCTATAAGAGCTGTTTTAAAAATGTGTGCGGACAAATCCGTTAAAATTTAACAAAAAGTTAAGGTTATGTGGCTAGATTTTGGCACAAAAATGTGATTTTTAGGTAAGTTTATATGCAAGTTTCTGTCTATTTTAATCAATTAACGTCATTAAAGCATATTAAACGTTATTTTATCGTTGTGAAATAGAAGCATCGGTTTTTTTAATTGTGCCAATGACTATACTTTGTTTGACTACATAATCATTGACATATATGTCAATCACTATACTTTCTTTCTTTTGTCCAAAATCTATTCTTGACACTGCCAATGACTATATCCTTTAAGTAGTGCCAATGATTATGACTGAACTTTTTCATATTTTGAATTGATGAAGAATACTGCTATTAAGAGAGGGCGTTTTAGAAAAATAACTGCCGCACTAACATTTAACATTCCACGCGCGAATTTACAGTTCCCACTAAATAAGTAAAGTAAAAAAAAAACTAACAAGCTGAAAAGCCGACCTGGTACTGGCACAGTTTTCGATGTCATAAAAATGTCAATGATGTGAGGTTTTTAAATAAATACCCCACCCATAAATACATACTAAACCGTTTTATAGAGGGAGAATAAAACGTCTATGAGGTGGATCATGCCTAATCGAAATCTTGCATCACTGTTCTTTGGAGTAGACGGTAAAACCTATTATTTTCCCCCTATAGAAAATGTGATCAGACGTTCAAAAGTTAGTGCCTAGAGAGAGGGTTATTTACTATCTTAAATACGGCGCAATTTTGCCCAAGTCTCGCCATAATACTCAAAGCCCTTAACCTGAATGCAACGCGACTATTGCAATCAGCTGATATCACTGCATTTCGGCCCACCAAAGATATGTGGCGTAAACCTGTCTTTGAATGAGATGCGGGCCTATATTAGCAAGACACCGTATTCAAATAAATCTACATTATGAAATGGTTTTGAGACATGTGGGTTGTGCCCATTTAATCCAGACAAAGTGGATTAAACAAAGTGTCCGGTGCCCTCGAAATCACAGCAATTTAGATGATCACCGTTCCTTGCCATTACGCCGAATTACCTAATATTTTAAGAAAAACGACTAATAACGACTGAATCAGAAATACCTGTATCAAATTTGCCTTGTATCCTTTCACTTAATAATGGTTTATCAGTACCAGAGCGTATACAACTTGCAGAGATTATTGTTGAGTATCAGAAAGAAAACTAACCCTTATGTTTTTCATCAACTAGGCATCAAATTTTGAATGTGTTGGAGGTGAATGGGTGATTGTGGATGTCGAAATAAACTAAAATCTTTTAGAAAGCCCTAAAAATATTTATAGTTTTTTCCACTGCCAAATACGTATCAAAAAGCAAAAAGCAGGTAAACAACGCCGTTATTTTGTGCTAACAAGTGAAGATTCGGAAGCAGCGGAGCTAAAAAAATAATGGAAAAATTGGGCACAAATGGAAAATGCAGAATTGAATTAGTCTGCCAAATATAGAAACAAGCTGACAAACAAAATAAGAAGAACGAAGCCAAAAACTCTGACATTATAATACTCTCTAAATTTTTAATCTAAAATACCGAAATAAAGTTCTATTTCTACAAAATATCGAGAAAATACGAAAGGTTTTACTAAAAAAAGTGACATCAAAAATGTAAGTATACGAAGAAAGAACAAAACATGGTAGACAAAGGAAACCGCTCTCAAATGAAGATCTAAGGAAAATTTTTGAAGAAGATTTGTTCAAAATAAGTGTTATAACAATAAGATGGAGCTTAGAAAGATCTGGGTATAACTTTTTAAGACTTCCAATGGTGAAAATGGTTATACTTAATTTACAGTGTCATTCACTATCCTAAAGTGCCAATGATTGTAACATTCCCTAGAAAAAAGTTTAATTAGATTTTTAACTTAATTAAACATTTCTTTTTAAACGTTATGCGTTATATTATTTATGACTATCTAAACTAAAATCCAACAAAACAATAAAAAATATAACAAATTTGTTTATTTACGAGAATTAACCACTTACAAGTAGAAATCCGCTTAAAGTGCCAATCATTATACTGCTTACCCTATATCATTTCAAACTACTTAATATGTCTACTCCTTTAAATAGTTTTTTTCTTAAAGATTTTTTACCCTAACAGACTCCTACCTGCTGTTTAAAATAGTATGTTGATAATATTATCGACATTACTATTATGCCCCGTGATGATGGCGGCTGAAAATACACCACCTGATATCTTTATATACTCTATTAGGGGAAGGTTAGTGTACGGGAAAGTCTTGCGTTCTACAAAGAGAACTAAAAATGATATGTATGAAGAAACCTGCAACACGTCTGGAACTCTTTTCCCACTATATAGTGGGAGAAAATTGTGTTAAAGTTTGTCACAGTAGGTTATCTTGTAAAAGCGTAAATTATATATTTCTCGAATAATTAGATTTATGTGTTACAATTATTTTCACAATCATGATCCACCCGTATCGTTTGTATAGATTAATGCGTTCGTTTAGGCGTAAAATTAATCACGGTGGATAATTAAACATTTACTGTATGTAGGATAACAGTATTAATTTTAAGTCTAAGTCCAATTAAATCAAGCTAATCAAACTGAAGTACTTACCCTCTATAATTTATGTGAACTGAGATATTAAACTTACGCAATTTATAGTTTTTGACATTACCGATTTCTAGCTATGTATATTTATTTGATAACATTAACTGAGGATTTACCTGTATTAAATGGTAATATAAATAAGTTTTAAAGGTCTTTATAATACGATTTTAGTGTTGCATAGAATTGTGTAGGTTAAAATAATTACATAACCACAGAATGTTACCATTATATTTTAAATCATCTTTGACAACTTCGATTCTGCTATTTCGTACTCGTTAGAAAATATGGAAATCTCGTTTGTCATGCATATATGTATTTATATAGTAGGTTATTAAGAATGTTTAAAACAAAATTTAACACAGTGTTTAAGTCACGGATTCCATATAATATTTGACTATATAAAGAAATTAATGATTTTTACATTTTTATGAACTCGTGTCGTTCGGGTCGTATTTAGTAATTCGTTTCAAACTAACTTCCCGATGAGCTTAGACTTGAAATTTTAAACATAGCTCAGAATAGGATGACAATGTAAGAATATAAAATAAAACCTGGTACTTATAATAAATAATTACATTATTTTTGAAAATTTCACTTGTTTTTAAATCGCCCACATACATATAGTCAGGTCATAAGTTCTGTCAAAACCTTATTATTTAAATTTTTTGAATACTGTCTAGATAAACTTCACCAATTTTAAAAATATAGCGTTTGCGCTTGCCGAAAATAAAGAACATTCATTTTCAAATATGGAGTGGTCGAAGAAAGATGATAGAGAAGCGGTTATCGGGTTGCACCGCTGTGGTTACGCGCCAAAAGAGATTTTCAATATTCTACAAAAATTGAAAATAACCCTACGATTTGTTTATCGCACTATCAAACGATTCACTGACGATTTAAGCTTCGAAAATCGTAAGAGTACCGGCCTACTCCGTACAGTTACGTCACTCGCGATCATCAAAGCAGTGAAGGCTCTAATCCAACGAAATCCTGTCCGTAAACAAAAAATCTTAGCTCTTTAGATGGGCCTAAGCAGAAAGAACCACAGTCAAAAGACTAATCAATGAAGACTTAAGACTACGAGCTTATCGCAAGGCGACCAAAAGACATGTTTTGAACGAGCGATTGAAAAAAAATTTGGCTGGATAGATCCCGCGCTTTGTTATGGCGGTACGCGGGAAAAAATGCCGCGAAATTTTGTTTTCGGATGAAAAAATTTTTAACATCGAAGAAAGTTATAATAAACAAAATGAGAAGGTGTATGCCCACAGCATTGAAGAAGCCAGCACGCGTATTCCGAGGGTTCCACGAGGACATTATCCTTCATCACTTATGGTTTGGCCTGGAGACTCATATTCAGGCTTAACTGAAGTGTTTTCTGTGAAAAAGGTGTAAAAACCAGTGCCGCGGTGTACCAAAATACCGTCCTAACGAACATAGTGGAACCTCTTTCTCAAACAATGTTCAAAAACAGACATTGGATATTCCAACAGGACTCTGCACCATCTCATAGGGTACGAAGCACGCACAACTGGTTGACCGCCCGTAGAATTCACTTTATCGGACATGAAGACTGGCCCTCTTCTAGTCCAGATTTAAGCACACTGGATTACAAGATATGGCAACGTTTGGAGGAGAAAGTCTGTGCTAAACCTCCTCAGAATTTGGAATCTTTCCGGGCATCTTTAGCTAAAGCAACGGCAGAAATAGATATGAATGTGGTGCGTGCTGCGATTGATGATTGGCCACATCGATTAAGGCCATGTATTCAAAATAGGGGAGGGCATTTTGAATAATGTAAATAAAATTGTATTCTAAATTAAATTACCTTTCATTTCATATATAATTTCTATATAATTATCTAAAAGTGTATCATTAATTTTATAAAAAGTTTTTGACAGAACTTATGACCTGACTAAGTATCTATTAACCGATTCGTTGCGGCATCAATTTTCGACAACTTTTAGCTGTGGCGGTGAACAAATATTTCATGACACACCGGGCGTGTCAAGCGCCACAGACAAACAAGTTACAAATGGAAGGATACTTGTTTTTAGTGGGTAACTACGAGTTTTTAAACGCGTTTTCTTTGAAATTGAGAGAAAGTGACTTTTTTTATAAAGAGATTACAAACCTTTTGTACTATTTTTTGTTGTTATAAAAAAATCATTTATATAAGTAGGTACAGCTAATTCACCCTGGAAACCTTTGTTTTTATTAAATAAAATTTTCACCTAATAATAACATTTATAAATATCAAACAATGAAGAACCTTAATTTGAAAAAAAAAAGGTATATCATTCATTGATATTATCAAATGTTAAATATTATTTAATGTTATACAAATGTAAAAGTAAAGTCGATCTGAAAACGTCTAATTAGTAAAAATAGCAAAACAAGTGTTTTCAAAAGGAAAAAAAACGCCGGCGCTATACGGCGGCGGATTGACAAAGACTATTTAGTAGCGTACTTTTTTTATGCATGAACGGTTTCGAACTGTTTCAAGCAAAAATAAACCTTTATACCATATCACAAGAGCACATGGTACTTCGGAGGTCTATTCGGCCATATGATAGTAATAAGACGGCAGTTCAACCATTTTAAGCAAAAATAAAAAAATAAGACAAACGCATTGTTTTTTGTTTTTAATAGGAGACTTGTTTTCCAGAAATTATTTACAACTTGAGTTTGTGAGTGATCGCAATGAGTGCTATTATTTGTTACTTATTAGACAATTTTTACATAACATGATTTAAAACCCACACGTTAAAAAAGGTTGTCAACCCCTAAAAATTTCAAATTTTCAAAATATCCAGAAACGAGCTGCATGCACGAACTACTCGCAAAATGATGAATATTTTGTTCTGGATAAATTTTCCAAAAAAGTAATTTGAGCAAGTTATAACGATTTTTAAAAAGACACGACTCGCGTATCATATGCCACACACAAAAGTAATCGATGGCACGCCTGGCGTGTCGCCCGCACTGAACCGGTTAATGCTTTAAGGAGAAAATTTGGTTCTTATTGTTTAGTAATTTTAATAATCAATATTTCCAAATATTGCCTCGAATTGATTTTTTTACATACCTAACTTTGTCGGTGATATTTTTTTGAATTATTTTTTAATAATCTTTTATATGTTTACAGGTATCCGTATATAGTTAAGATATACCCGCCTGCTTCCCTGAAGGTAATTATTCCTTTTTATAATAAAATAGTTAATTTCTAGCTTTTATACATCCCACTGCTGGGCACATACCTCACATTTCGAAAATGGTTACGATGCCGTAAGATCGCCGCGCTGCTCCAGTGCGTGCTTCAGACTTTACGTTTCCTCGAAATACTTTATTTCTCAGATATGATCGACATCCTTAGTAAGTTTTTCTTCATCGCCGAGAACGTGATGATAAGTATTTGAACTGCTATTAACAATTCCTTGGTAGAATCGGACTAGAAATTTACGAACAGTAAGCATCTGAGCTGTTACGGCTCTTTCTTGAGTTTGTTATTTCGTATTGCTTTATCGAAATAACTTTGTTATATTAGAATATTATGAATCCGTCAAGATCGCCCTATCTAACATAGTGGGGGTCGTAAAGCTTAATTAAATTTTTACAGCCTTCACGGTCACTGATCGTCGCCATCCACAGTCTTCTGCCAAAGTCCACTGCCAGACAAATATTTTCAAGACTTCCAACTGGACATGCGTTACTTGGGGAAGATTTGCCCTTACGCTCACTGCACTGTACAATGGTTTGGTGCGCCGCGTACAAGGGTACCCTTGCACTTGTATATGCTGCTTCCCCCTTTATGTAAAATTCGTGTATCTTCTTTTGGGTGAATGTTTATTATGAGTCGGCCGTCAGATTTCGGTCGACTAATATTCGACATTACGCCAAAGCCCTCGGATTCATAACGGACTATTTCCAGCAGCGTGATGATGATTTGAATTGTGAATTTTTAGATTTAATACAGTACATCTCCTGCTCTAACTTAGAACTCAGAATTTCTTTTATTGTTTCATTATACCTTTCGGTTATTTGGCAATGTATCTTGACCCCAGAAATGATTGAAATCCAATATCCATATTATATTTTACTTGTTTCAGATGACTTAAAAAGAAGCACCGACCAAGGGGAATGCTCTTGTTTGCGATTTTCTTATGTCAGGTAAGAATAAAGAAAGGTTTTCTGATATTTTATGTTATAACTAGTCTAATAACGTGATGATTATTTCATATTTTGTCTTCTTTTCCCGACTGATGCATAATGATGCATAACTCTTAACATTCTGACTACAACTGTGAATTTCACTGAAAGGTTATAAGTGTAAAAAAATGCTTTTCATAATTATTGTGCTAGTTGGTGTTTTTGTATTTGCAATCAGCAGTAACAATGCCTTTGTGAAGTTCACATTGTCCCATTTAATAAAACTGAAAGATAATAAAATACATTTAGAAAGTCAGTAATTAGGGTTGTTTCATTTCAGAGGCTGCCGGTGCCAGCGCCTACAGAGAGAACTGAGAGCCTAATACTAGATAACTTCGTTGACTTCTCCTTTATAATTCCATTGATCTAAATTGTTTATCATGTATCAATCAATTCTCACGTAGGGGGATAATGTAACTTACCGGTATATTTTCTTATATTTCGTAATAAATAATATTAGATTCCATAGCTATAAATATTTAAATAGTAAAGTATCCATTTCAATAGAAGTTCAATGAGAATAAAAATCGTATCCCAGTTTCATCTTCTCTTTGATGGCTTCGTGACGCAGTGGCTGAGCAATGAGTTACTGCGCTAAGGGTCGCGTGTTCGAATCCCGCAAGGGAACAAGTATTTGTGTGGCCTACAAATAATTGTTCCGGGTTCTGGATTTTTGTCCTTGTGAAATTTATGTATGTAAACTTGCCCCCACGATACACGAGAAAATCCTAGTGTGGAAGTAAAGTTTTTTAACAAAAGAATAGATCAGTACCAAAAAAAATTATTTTGTATGTATCCTTGTTACTTATGATTACCTTTTAACTATCACTTCGGGTCACGTCTTAAATTCACTTTGCTCTATACCCTTAGTTTATATCTGACTTTTGATATGTAAGATCCTTATAAATCGGATAATAATCATGGCCCTTTCAGTTACTACAAGAACTGTTACTATATGCAGTCTTCTATACTTTTCTATTGGTGAGTATTTTACGCAAAATATAAGCTTGTACCATAAGTGTAATAAATATTAATGCAACTCTTTTGTTATACCGCAAAATACCAACAAGGCTGTCTCGACGTCTAGTCGCTAACATATGCAAGGGTCGTCACAAAAACATTTCCTTAAATAATAATATAACATTATATTTTAACCGAACACCAAACGCGTGCAACTGATTCCGTGTACGTGACACTCCTAATCCTAAACGGGCGTACCGGTACGCAAGCGGAGCCGACCGTTACTACTACAGACGTCGCGGGCACGGGGGGGGGGACTCCCCTCTCCTTCCGAGTTGACACACTATTAGTATTTATTACACATATGTTTGTACTTTTTTGTGACAAAGATTAATTTGAAACCTTAATCATACAGGTTTTTAGTATATCTCTTTTTTAGTTTATATCTCTTAAAATAAATCATGATGAATTATTTTATTTTGTCTTCTTTTCCCGACTGACTTATAATGATGTTCAACTTTTTATCTGAATTCACACCTTTACGTGATTAAAATTATTGTTGCCTTATGCTATGCTTACCTATAAATTTTTGTTTTTTGTTTCAGAGTACATTGCGGAGAAGCAAATTTATTTTGTATCTATTATAGTAATACATACATACCTACTTTTCATTATCATGTAAATATACTTAAGTAGCTTAAATAACTCTTTTAGTAGGATTTATGTGTTATATCTTAATTTAAGCTTAAATTGTAATCTAAGAATTGACAATAAAACAATATTACATAAAAGTGTGCATTTTTATCATTTTGTAACCTTTTAAGTTTTAGTTTTTGACAAAAGTGAACAATGAGTAAAATAGTAACAAAGTTTTATAGGTACTAGTGACAGGTATGATATCGTTGCCATTTTAGTTTTTATTGTCAACTAGGAGAAACGTCCCCAAGGAACTTGTGGCCTAGACAAAGCAGGCATATGCTAGACCCAGGATATTGCGAGATGGATCGCCAATCTACCTGCCAAACGTGAGGATTACGTCAGCCATTATGTAAGAGTTGTTCCATGTTATATTGTATAAGCCATAGATTTATTTTAATCACTCAGGCGTCTACATTAACCCATAGACTTAAAATATACTGGCGTATAGAACGACATAGTGTGCAAGCATGGAGTGTAGAGATAAGGAGAACCATCTCATATGGGGTGAAAGTTGAAAAAGTGTCCAACAGTATATTGAAAATAGAGGTTACAAAACCTACTACAATAGCGCTGGCCTCTGAAAAACTACGATATGAACATAGGTGTTGTAGACGTAGTGAAGTGTGCAGAGTTCAAATATTTAAAAATGTTCATGACTAGAGTAGTTAGTAAAATGCCAATATACAAAACCTCAACTATGAACGTAATCTAAAATAAGTAAATATAACCAAAAAACTGCAGTGAGAAAGCGTGATTTTATTTGTGTGCCTTTTTATTTTATTGTGTGATAGTTATAAAATAATTGAACAATACGAGGGCGGCACTGAAAATTTCGGGAGTCAAGGAAGTGACACAACATTACTATTTAAAAATGTATTTATTGCTTTTCGAAGTATTCTCCGCGAAATTTGACACATTTTTCCATACAATGGAACCAATCATTGAAGCAACCATTCCATTCGGAAGTTGGGGTCTCCAAAATGGCCGTTTTGTAGGCGTCCACAGCTTCTTCAGGTGATGAAAATCTCTGTCCACGCAATTTATTCTTTATTTTAGGGAAAGTATAGAAATCATTAGGGCTTAGGTCGGGGCTGTACGGCGGATGGTCTAATAATTCTATGTTTTCTTGCTCTAAAAACTCTTTTGTTCTGTGTGCGGTGTGAGAACTCGCATTGTCGTGATGGAGGATGATGCGGCGGTTGCAGTTCTCTTTACAGAGTTCAGAAACGACCTGTGGCAAACAAATTCTAGCATACCATTCTGCATTAACCGTTCTTTGTCCCTCAAGAGGAATAGTCGTAACATGCCCGGTTTTGGAGAGAAAGGTGGCCACTATTTTTTTTAAAAAACATGTGTTGCTTGCTATAATATATTATAATTATTACATTATTGCTTTTAGTCAGAATCGTAAATTAAATCTTCTACCCTACTCAAACTTTCATCGCTCGAAGAACATGATGTTTCGCCGTCGGAATTTCATAGTGTAATTATAAATGAATCAGTGAAATTATCCACTTTTAGTTCCAGTTGAATATATTTTTCCTCATGTCCTCGCGTCTTTCTCCAAACGTCACTAAACATATCAAGAGTAATAGAATCTGCTTCTTTTCTAAATAATTCTTCCACAGTTTTTAAGTTAAACTTAACGTTTTGTGATGCAACTTTCCCTTTAATTATACCCCACAGTAACTCTATTGGGTTGTTTTCTGGATAGTAGGGTGGTAGGCGCAATACACTGTGTCCGTGATCTTAGAGGATTTTATCAAGTACAAATTGTACATAGTTTGGCTTATTTTTTTTTTTTAATAATATATAGCAAGTTTTGTGTTTCTTTCGGGATATGATATATTATATTTGTCCAACCAAGATAACATGTCACTTTTTCTTGAATTTGATGCAGGCACTGGATCCGATACGTCGTTGTGGTACGACGATGCATTATCGACTACTAAAACTGACTGTGGTGGTAAATTTGGAAGAAGTTTTTCTTTAATCCATTTCTGATAATTACCAGCATTCATATTACTGTGACAATCTCCCTTTTGCTTTTTTGCTGGATAGATAAGCAAAGCTTCTGGAATAAATCCTTGTTCCGAGCAGGCATGAACTATCACTAGCATGTCGCCCTTGGAAATAGGTACTTTACAACCTTCGCTTGTTTCGTCGGACCATGATCGTGGCAACGTATGCGAGCTGTGTATGTAAGATTCATCCGTATATATTATAGGTCGGCCTTGTGATCTATATTCTTACAGTTTCGAAAGATATAATGTGCCTTTTTTCAATAAGTAGTTTTTTATTATTTTGTGTCTTATTCCATCTGAAACCTAGCCTCCGAACGACCTTTCTTAATGAAGAAATGCCTCCCTCAAAGTTGATACTTTTTTTTAACACTTCTAATAACTTTTTTAATGTCGGAAATGTATGCTGAACCAGATGAAAGTTGTAGATAGTTCGCCTTACGACTTCTTGGTCAAAACTATCTACTGAAGATTTTTGCTAACCTTGGTCGCTTTTTACCCGGTATTCTAAAAGTAACTTGAGGTACCAATGTTTTGGATGCTGGTGGCTCTCCTTCTCCTGAGGTAGACTGTTGTGATGTTGACGTTTTAACAGACGCTATAACTTGATTGCGTACTTCACAAACAACTCGTTGAACACTTCTCTGAGAAACACCAGTCGCATCTGATGTCAAACCGTACAAATCTTTCATTAAACGATCTCCGCTATCACTTTTTTTTTATGATAATGCATGAAATAGTTAAAAACGTACACTATTTCACGAGATTGTCCTGTTAAAGTTTCCGGAACCAATTCTTTCAGAAGACATTTTATTCTAAACTCCAAATATGTGAATAATTAAACGCGCTGCGTGTCGATTGGTGTCGATCAATCACACGTGACTGACGCTAACGGTTGAATACCAAAAAGACCACGCTGTATTTATAAACAGTATCAAAAGCAAAATAATCACTGTCCCCTTCACACTCATAACTCGATCGCGCGAGAGAGAGATGGGTAGACTTTCCATGATGCGCATGCGATGCGACGTCACGCCAAGGGCTTATTCACAGACACTACACAAGCGCAACGTGTAAATGTGTTGTACGTGCCAGCTTTGTTTAACTGACCTATATCCATCGGGAAAACAATTTTTATACACCTAATTGTTCATGCAAGATTATTTGTATTTGACTCATGCCAATGTCTAAAGTTGCCTGAATTTCGCGGTATGTCACATGTCGATCTTCCTCAATCAGCTTACGCACAGCATCAACGTTTTCTTGGGTGACTGCAGTTTTTGGACGACCTTGACGGGGATCATCACTGAGCTTGACACGTCCACGTTGAAATTGAGCAAACCAGCGATAAATTGTGGTTTTGGATGGGGCTACATCACCAAATGCAGAAATCATCCGGTCAACACATTGTTTTTGTGTTAAACCCATTGAGTTGTATATACTACGTACTAGAGAAGCCATTCCGAACATTGACTATGTTCAACTGAACTGTAGTGCAATCCATACAAACTAAATTATGCGTAAATTGAAGATTTGTGAATTCCATAAAATAATTATTATAACATTTTATTTAGAAATATATTTGTTTAGATTAAATTAAGATATTTTATATTAAATTAAAATCTTCGCGCATGCGAGACTACTACTCCCGCGCATGCGCGAAGACATAGAGTAGGACACAATTTTTGTTTGGAATGGCTTCTCTAGTACGTAGTACATATAACTCAATGGTTAAACCACTTCGAAAGTCATAATAAACCATCGCTCTTGAATTTTCTCGAGTCAATTCCATTTTCTCAACGACTAAACAAGGTTGACAAAATCTTGTGACAAGACCGAGAATCTTTTTTCAAATAAATAATTGGTATTCGATTTTTAAAACCAAGGACTTTTCAATTAAAAAGATTTTAATATGACAGGAACAGTGGAAATATTCCATTCCCGATACTTTTAGTGCAGCCTATGTAATGGGAAAAATTAATATTGTGAAATGTTGTCCAAGTGGACGTAAACTAAAAACTTATAACGACAGTGGTAAAAAAATAAAATTATATATATATATATATATATATATATATATATATATATATATATATATACAGGGTATTTTTGGAACGCTCCCGAAAACTAAGACAGGCGACAGCACCAAGTATACCTTTGATCATGGGTCATAAATAAATTTGATCCTGATGAAAAAAAAATCATCTTTTTACAACGTTTTATTAGCTTTATTCACGCGTCATCATGTTAGTACAGCTAAATGAAACGATAATTTCATAAAAAAAATCATGAAAAGACTGAAACATAAAACCAGCAGTGGAAACTGAATTGATATCACCTGACTAATGGAGGTTAATGTACGCGCGAACGGTGAAAAAAGAACGCTGGCCTTAAACTTGGGCACTGAGCGATTTATCACATATTGGCCAGTATTACTGTGCCTGCATGCTATTGGTTCCCGCGCTTTGTTCGCTCCAAAAATACAGTCGCATACACAGCTTACTTTGCGACTCGCGACGATGTTTTAAAAAGGAAGGAAAAAAAAATATTTATATCTATTGTTTTATGACTAAACTAGTGAACGAAAAAGTGAATGGGGAAAATTGTGCAGTAAAGTTAAAATTGTTGAGGAAGAATACCGAAAAAATTACCATGTGATCGACCTGATGACGGAAGCTCAAGCGAAGATGAAAGTGATGATGAAGTAGCATCCAGTAACACCAACACACCATCGACATCTGGCTTCCATGTGACCCAAGACGTCATAATGGACGGCGTGTCACCCTTAGCTTAAGTTTTTTTGTTACAAACTACTTTATATTTTACGATAGAAATAACAAACAATGCTCAAGTAAACATTATCTATTTTTAATTCCCACCTCTTCCAAAGTTCTAAGTAGCTAGTAAAACACCTATTATGATTCTACAATAAAACAATTAATTACTATAATATTATAAAACAATAGCCCAATACCATGTAGTACTTTAGAACGCGACTGTACCCACACTCACTCCGCTGTCGACCTGTATCTAGCTCGGTATGAAACAATACTGCGGTCATAAGAAA